CCCCCCCCCCCCCGCTGTGTTCTACTCCCTACCTATTTTGGGCAACATAGGGAAATGGTACTCGACACACTTGTGTGTCGGTGCCTTTCCCTGTGTTGTTCCTGTTCTAGTCTATCCTACCCGGGCGGTCTAAGACTAAAGTCCCGCTCCCTAACTAGTGCACCTAATTCACCTCGTCTAAGTATTCAGTAAATCTAGAGTGCTAGGTATTCAAACACACACACGTACACACACATGGACATACACCCCCTCCCTGCCCCCCGCTTTCCTTCTTGCGTGTTTCGTCGTTTGTTGGGCTTTCTTTCAGGCTTTTGAGGTTGTTCTTGAGGTTCGTTTCCCTACCCCAGTCAAGGGCTAAGTATTCACCTTTCATTTTTCTACACCTATCTTTCTTTCTTCCCCTCTTAGCGCTGCTCTTTCTGTCTTTCTTTCCTTTTGTTTCTAAGGCTTTTTAGGTGCCTATTCAGGTTTTTCACATGCGCGCCGCGAAGCGGCACCGTATGTGTGCCACCTTTCTTTGAAAAAGCGCCGAAGCCGGCGATTTGTGTGTGTCCACCCCTGGACAAAGGGTTTCGTCCAACTGATCCACCGATCACCTTTTCCACCTGTGATTCACATGCAGGGGCGTCCAACTGATCCACCGATCACCTTTTCCACCCTTGAGTCACATGCAGGGGAACTGGGCACTCTGTGACTGACCCAGTTCAACGAAGCTAGGTCACAGAGTGGGATATTCGGACTGATCATCCGAACGTACCTGCGCCAGTTTTGAACTTTTGACCACGCCGTTCCAATCTCTCTTGTTTGCTTCCATGGTTGTTCATGATACTTCCCACAAACCCACTCTTCCCCAGCAGCTGCGCCGCCGGTTTGAGCGTTTTGCCGCCGCTTTGAACGTATGAGTGCCTGTGCGAACAATGTTCAACAATACTTTTCAGCGGACTTTGCCACCTTGCCGTTCCCTCACCTTCCTTCTCAGCGTGGGAACTGAGTGTAACTGAATACAAGTGTCAGAGTGTCTCTTTACAACGAGATGTTCAAGCACCTCTCTTGGTGGTCTTGGTGGAGAGAGTCAGTGCAACACCTGTTGTCCATCGACTCAACCCTGTTTGACGTCCTCCTCCCTGCCCAAAAGATGTCTCTCTGAAAACGGTTCCAAAGAAAGTAACATGTCTGAACATGTTTGTCTACAAACATTTACAAACTACAAAACTAGGCCAATGAAAACGCTCGGCAAGAAAGCAAAATGACACAAGGAATCTGGGTCTGAATGTCGGCGAGGCAACAACTTTTTGGACGCTTTGTTTAACGCTTTGGTGCCACCACTTGCACATAGGCCTTGACAAATTCAGGAGTATGGCCGCAAAGTTCTAGTCCATACATGGCCTAATGGATGAAGGGTCAATCTCTAAGCATCAAACCACTTGCAACTATCAACTATTGAGTGAGCGTCCGAAGGTCTAATGGATGAAGGATAGTTAGGAAAGTTTGTCTTAGAACCATCTGCCACCCACCACGTGACGACGTTTCTCGCATACCCGAATCTTTCAGAACTGGCCAACTTGACGCTGTGGGCGACTGAGGCACCGGCCGCACGGCCAGGGCTGGTAGCTGGTCTTGGACAGTAGGACACTGGGAACCTGGGGAAAGGGTCAAAAAGCGATAGCCGGGAGTGCATAAATGGATAATGGATGGACCAGCTACTCAGAAGCGTCCCAAGACTATGGCATCCACTTGTTTTGTGCAATCCACATACGCAACGAATTCCGTTCTCCAAGCGATGGTTTCCCACTCCAATACTCTTCCGCGCAACTCCCCGAAACCGCTCAGAGTGGCTTTGCCAGTGGCTTCCAAGTGGCTTTGCCAGCGGAGCAACTGCCACTCGTGGAGGATAGGCCCCAGCAGAGGGCAAGGGAAAGGAGGACCTGTTCACCTGCGCCGCACGGGCAGGACAGACGTATGTAGAACAGATTTACAGTATGTCGTTGGCACAAATGCAGTAGCAACAGGTGAGGAGCACGGGGCCCTCTTCTCCTAATACACAGACGAATTTTGAGCGTCCCTCGCGGAACACGAATCAGCTAGACATGAAGAGGCACATGACATATACCTGAACACAAAAATATAATATTATATATATCTGTGTGTTTTCAATATTCACATATAGTATAGTGTGGTTTTAGTAAAATGCATAATATTTTGTATATATATATACATAGAATTATACTAGGGTGAGATGACTTAGGCCAATTGGGTCGAAATGACATACAACTTTCCCAGGGCAAGTCCTAAGTCATGTACAAATGTTAAATTTGCAATTTCATTGGCACACACTCATGACATAGGCCTTGTTGACCTGGTCCTGAGTTTTCTTTTTTTTTTTCGGGGGGGGGGGTTGGTGGGGGGCATGCTCCTGGAAGATTAGGGTGAGATGACTTAGGCCAATTGGGACTTAGGAATCCTGTCATGTCTCATTAAGAACACATTACTATCTCATTTAAGTCTGCCTTTGTGCTTTTTTGCTCTCAAATTCCTATCTCTCGATGGTTTATTCATTGTTTAGATACCAAAGTCGTATGTCATGATGCTTGTCAATATAAAATCAACTGTTTTTAGGATCTTTGGTGACAACCTCTGGCATCTCTGATTTTGAGGTTTTTCCAAGCTTTTGCTTCATGACATAAATACTTGTGGGGGGTAGGCTAAACCTTCATTACTTAGCCGCCGCAATTTGGAGGTAGTTTTCACAAGTCCTTTGTCATTTCAGCCTAATATATATAATAGATATTTATAGACTCCCATTGAAGTCATAAGGTAATATAGGGCCGGGCACATGCCAATAAGATTGCCTGAAACTTAGATTGTTTTTGCAACCTGTCAATGGAACAAAACACAACAAGCTGCGTCAAATGATCCAATTGAAGTTTGACACGTACATACGGCATCATACGGCCATGTTCTGATCGAAACCGGCCAGTTGACTCTCAAAACGAGAGTCAGGCCACTCCCTTCGACGGAGTCAACAACTGCACTTCTACACTCTACACATCTTTGTTGGGTGGCAATTAACATCAATGAGCTCCCTGCAAAGGAGTACTACAATGGAGGTAGGAAGTGGAACGTTTACATCAGCTCCCCGCATCACTCCCTGCCCACATGGAAGTGGAACATCGGCCCCGAAACGGACAATTTTCTGAATGCCCAAACCGGTGGTTTTCCAACGATTGGACGAGCACGAAACGTGAGTGGTCATGTGCACTCCACGTGTCGCACCGAATTCCCCCAGTCCCCCAGCAGCACTCCACCTGTGGATATGCCGCCGGTACCCACGGCGCCGGTACCCGCGCGGTGGCGGACGCCGAGGCATTGGACACCGAGGCGTTGGACGCCTGGGCGTTGGCGTCCGCCTGGGCGGAGCAGAGACACAAATGACAGTGTTTGGGGAAAAGATGTTCGGGGCCAGGAGTCTACTTGGAAAATTTGAACTGAGCAAAAGATTGAACAGAAAGTCAAGACATACAGGAGTGTTTGAACTGTCCAATGTAATTTCAACTACAGGAGTCAAACTCTTGACAACTCAGTTTTGGAACGAGGCTGGAAGAGAGATTAGGCCGGTGTGACCAGCCATGTTTGGTGCCTTTGACTTTAAATGGGATTCAGGAATACAATGCAAATGTTTTTCGAGTGTTTCTCTGCGGGACCAACCAGTGGATTGGGCAGTTTGCAGGGTTGCAAGTATCTGATACCCGTGAAATACCTTAGAATCTGTATTGACAAATATGTACAATGTGAATAATATGATGCCATGCACGTCGGATGGACGGCTGATGGGGACAGGGATCAGCCGGTCGACTGTCCATCAAATCCCCCAATGGCTCGCGGTTTGACTCCAACGACTCATATGACAAGTTGACCGGTGGTCTGAGCTTGTCCTGAAATTGTCCCAGAAATGATGGCAGTGTTCCATGTTTCATACTTGACACTGAGGTAGTGGAACCAGTGGGAGAGCCTGCCTGTCTTGCACCACTAGGGGCGTTGAACTCTGTTGTAGCCAATGGGAACTTCCACTCTTACTTTCTAGATCATCAGCACCTGACGTCTTTTGTACTGCAAAAGTCAGAAGGCACCACAAGCTGAGCAAATCATCTATGTTTCCATGCTCCTATCCTTATGTTTCCTTCATATATATATAATATACATATATATATATATCCGATAAACTGATTAATATCCTTCGGCCTTTTTCTCTCAGCGAAGAGAGCGACGCATCGAAATTCCTTCAGCAGCTGCGTTTCACCAGGAAATTATTGACACGTTTACGTCATGAAAGGCTTCGTCCATAACAAGGCTTGCATCGCAAAGAGCTGGCTGATCACCCTGGCTGGGTAGGAGCGAAAAGAGAGTGTCGATTCAACATGGAAAGACCCGGGCCCGACCTGACCCACTCCCTTTTATGAGAATTTGCGCCACCCGTTTTAGGGTGAATTCTCAGGTCCACGTTTCAAAAGGATCCTCAAGCATTCGAGCACAATCAACACACCGACGGTGCTATGTGATTGCGACAGACGTTCATGGAACATCTTCCTTTGGAGAGGACAAGCATCTTATGTGACTATATAGTTATGTATACTGTTATTATGTATGTACATTATATATATATATATATTGTACATGTATCTAAAGCTGTCATGTCTTCAATCACTGTTCACGTGACAAAGGTGGGCCAGAATCATTGGCCTTTTTCCAAGAAGTCTTGTGCCCATGTGCCGCTCTGGGCGTTGTTGAGGACTGTGTGGCGAAGCGACGTGAAGAGGAAGGGATAGCCAGGGTGGAAGTTATCTCAGATTACCTTTGCATCCGTGGGTCACTCTGTGATGATGCCAGGACCTGGTCCAGGCCAGAAGCTCAGAAGCTTGACATACCAACCACTGTATCATGTTGGATCGCAATCAGTGGCAGTGACAGCGTCTGTTCCAACACCTTGGACATCGGAATCAAACACCTCCCTGAAAGCTTTCTCAGCCCTCTGGTCCTTCTTGATGGCAAAGATCACCTGCGAAAACGGCGGATCGCCACTGTGCGCACCGAGCTCGCTCAAGGCACGCTCAAAGCTTTCGACCACCAACTGCGGCGGATGCTTCCGGGCGCCACAACCCCAAGCTCCAAGAACTAGCCTCCGGTGGCCATGAAGCTTGCAAATGTGAAGAATCCCACGCGCGCGAGACATGCAATCCTAGGAATCCAAAACCCGGTCAGCTTAGCACAGGGAACACATATCATGAAGCATAAACTCATCAACTGAAAGAAACACAACACTGGTAAAACATAGTAAAACGATGTAAAACTATACGTAGCACAGGCAAGGGTCCTCGCGGTATTCTTCAGATTGAATGGTCTCCTGCATTTTGGCCCAGGTGAGTTCCACTGGTGGAGCTGCCAGGATGGCCACGGAAAAAGGCTGAGTGGGCCGGCCCTGGACGCGGAACACCATCACTCCAGGGATGTGTAACGCAGAGTTCCGTCCAAGGGGGAAGGACTTCTCAGCCACCACTTGGAAGGTCGTACTTCGGCAAAGCTCGCCCAGCTGGGTGTTGCCCGCCAGACCGGCGGAACCGCCGGCGGTGCGGCGACTACAGCCACATAACCTGGGACGGTGGGCGAGATCTGCTCTTTGACTTTCCCCCTTGACCATTAGACCAGGCTCTCGGGCAAAGCAACAACTCCACGGAGAGATACACCCCCAAAGCAAACAAACATCCTACCTAAGCATCCCTAAGTCTTAAGCCATAGATAGCCATAGTAACTACAGGGGCCAAGCTGTCGACGACACAACATTGAACTACGAACATCTTATAGTCTGCCAAAAGAATCTCCTCTCCGGGCATTGCAGAATGCTATTCATCAACAATGTCTAGAGCAAAGGCAAGCGACACAAGTGGTTCACTGGCAGGGCATTGCCGTTTCAAGCGTTCAGCAACCACGAGACAATCTTCTGGAACCACGTCCACGCAAATCGTGCACTCTCTGTCACTGCCCCGTGGCTCATAGAGTGTCTTCAGATCGTCATAGCGCGTGATTTGGGGCGATGAAAACTGGCTTGCAATGCTGATTGCATCGTCGACCACCCGTCCTTCCCAACATTCCCAGCAGTAAGCGCAGTAGACTCTCCCAACCTCATCCTGACGTCCTTGAAGATCCTCTGCACCACACTGAAGGCAATATTTCACCACTAGCGCCCCTACCGAGCCAGCCAGGCCTCTCAGCTGCACATGTCGGCTATTGGTGTGCTCCTCAACATCCCAACCGCAACCCACATCGTCCAGAAATCCCGAAGTCGTAGCGACACTGGTTGAGTAAATCACTGATGGAAGTAGGTCGGCCTCATTGGATCGCAGGGCAGTGCCACAGACCTTGCATGCAGCTGCCCTGAGACAATCCTTGCAAAAAAAGACTTTGTGAGCAGGGCCAAATTGTGGGCATCGCTGATCTGGGCACGTTGCAAACTTTACGCTCAATGCATCGCATTGGAAGCAAGCTGGGACCTCCAAAGAGGTCTCAGAGGTCAGGATTGACATCAGATACAGGGCATGTGGTCCGAGAGGTGACGAACTTCCAGAAGAAAACCTTTTTGTGGTGACGAGACGAGGGTCAAAGATGAACCGTGCGCGCTCGTCTCGTGATCTTTAGCTCACTATGTAGTGTCATTAATGGGACCCTCTAGGGAAATCTGCGCGAGGCTCACCTCCCCGCAGGGCTCACCATCAGTCGTCAATTCACCGTCCGTACTCTCATCTCATATGTCCTATCAGATCCTATCAGGGAAACAAAGCTGTGGTACACTAGTATAGGCTGTACATAGGCAACTACTGGTGGGCTAAGAGGTAGCTGTGTACTCTCTCATATGTAGATTGATCAGCGGTTGTGGGGGTACTTGGCTTGGGAGATCCTATATGGATCCTGACCGATCTTTGCTCCATATCCATCGAACAACATATCAAGTCATGTCTAGTTGCAAACAGCTGCGTCAGCTGCCCACGGCAGCCATGAGACCGTGAAGAACCTTCGCAAGCGAACTGAACCTTCCAAGTACCATGGTACAAGCACTGCCCGTCTTTAGTCGTTGTAGGGCCCAAAATGTCTGGGGCAATTGCGAGGGGTGCAAATATTCGCACCTTCCAAATCATTTGGGTTGTAAATCTACGGAGATTCCACCACCAGACACAATTGAACCGATCGCCAACTAGCTGACTCTAAAAAGGCATCTGACCTCCCTCACCAGAGCGCCCACGATGAGATGTATATCTACTTTCAAGCCCTCTGCAACTTCACAAGTAAAGTCATGTAAATTAAATTGCTATTATAGTCAATGTGTATATATAATATATATAGTTTCATGTATTTGTATAACTCCTGTGAGTAATGGACGCAATCTATGGTTTAATGGGAACCTGTTGTGGGATGGTCATTGGTCACGGGCTTGGCTACAGGAAACCAGGAACCGTACTGAGGTCCAATCCGAGCGGACTCGGCTCCGGGCTGGAACTCCAATGAAGCAGGACTCCGACGGCAAGGCACCAGGGGAGCTGTCCACCGTACCTCATTCGGACAAGATCTCCCGATCACACGGGCCGCGCACCCACGCGGACCGTGCGCACGTGGGGTCGGTTGAACCTGGTCTCCGAAATGGTTGGCTGAAATCGTGAAAAGCAGGTGGCAGGTGGTGATACTCGCAGTGAGTCTGCTGGGTAGATATATTTCATTATATATACCCAAACATACCCTAACAATCCATGGGACTGGGTGACCTGAGGTCGTCTGGTAGGCATACATGGAGTGTCTGGTCGTCTGTAAATCAGGTGGGCTCCGCATGGCTCAGAACTCTAGCTCTGGATTGTGACCATGGTGGGTCTAGCGAGCAAAGCAAGTGGTACAAAGGGTAAAAGGCAAAAGGTCAAATTCATGTGGGTAACATAATATAATTGTAACATATATTCTACAAGTATCTCAAACGTGACTGCTCACGCATCGATGAGATCCAAACCGAGCAGCCTTTGCAGCGAAAGCAATGTGCTTCGGGTGACCATTGAAAGCGCTGGTCCAAAACATGGACAGCCGAGTCGACTTTTGGAGGTCTTCACAAGCCCTTTGGACCTCCAAACAGTCTGGATGCCGAAGCCCTGAGTCCCTTCAACCAAGTGCAAGGGACTCAAAACACTCCTAGTGAAGCTTCCAAAAATCTGGTCAAGACCAAACCACGGCCGTGGTAGGCTGCATCAATCTGGCGTACCAAGTAATGGATCCAACCGTTGTGGAAGGAGCTCGACCTGCACGCGCGATCGAGCCTGGAAGACTGAGGTGATGCTGCTAGGGGGTTCTGACGTTGACGGACCCCCAAGGAGAGACTCGACTGTTTGTGCTGATGTGAGGCTCATGTATAGGTCCTGGCACAAAAACAAAACGGTAAGTTCACTCAATGTACCCTTTGCAGGTTGGCTACATCTGATTGGGGGTGCTCAGGTGCTCATTCACTAGGCTAACGAGGGTGCACACCACCTCACCGAACGTAAATTGCTGCTAACACCGGTACCCATGTCAGTTCATCTGTGTCCTCACACCAGCAGTACCAGAAACAAACCCTGCATCAAGCAGGTGGCAAAAGCACAAGTGAACATCCGCATCAAGCACCACTGATGCAGCTGCTTCAGTGGACGCAGAAAGGTCCGGCAGCAGCAAGCCACTTGTCAAAGCGTCAATAAGGCGCGATGTTTCGGCACTTTCTTTATAAGTAAAGTGCCTTGTTGCATCTCCACTCCTTCGACTCCTTGACCAGTTTAAGCAGACACCATAGCCGCAACAACCGTAATAACCGAAAACCACTGCCGCAGGACTCCTGCCTGCTCTTCTTCTTCTTCGAGCTCAACTTCAGGATCGGGATCATCCTCAGCTTCTTCCTCCCCTTCTTCATAGAAGAACTCCTCTTCAGCCTCCAAGCTGTAGTCGTCCTTTGGGGACTCCTGGACAAGGAAACACACACAAAGGTATAAGATGTTGCGTGGTGTTCCTTAGCTCAATAGTTACCCAGTGCACTCCAAAATTCAGTAGAAGGATTGTTTCTCTTTCGATCGCGATGGTGATATACAAAGCTCTCAGCCTGCAGGGAACATTGATCGCTGGTTCATGCAAAAATAATGCAGTTTCATTCTACACAGAACCGCTGAACTGTGAGATTCGGTTGAACTCGATGTGCCCAAAACGAAGGTGGCAAACTTGGGCTTCACTTCAGGACAGAGTGAGGACGGCGCTGAAGCCATAGCTACGAGCCTGCCTGGAATATGTGTCCATGCCCTAGTCTCCAGATCGAGATAGTGGACATACACAATGCAAACAATATAATACTATAGTACTATATTGTATACATATATCTGTTGTACATATGTGCGTCTGAGTGTTCCTTCAGTTCCTTCCCAACGTCACAAGCTTCAAGCTTGCGCTCCAAAAGCTCTGTGCTCGTTTCAGCCCAACGCCTCGAACCCGAACCTCCACCCTGCCAAACGATCTCCCCGTTTCGTCGGTCCGGTGTCGAAGCTCGTGCGTCGCTCTTCCGGACGTTGGTCTTCCTGGAGAAATCGAGGCGTCCTAATAGCTTCTTAGCTACGTTCGTAGCTACTGGCTCCGTTCGTAGTACGGCGCTAGGAGCCCCGTTCGTAGCGTCCGATCGCTCCGTTCGTAGTACGGCGCTAGGAGCCCCATTCGTTTCGTCCGATCGCTCCGTTCGTAGCGATGCCCGAAATGCTCCTAGTAGCGTCCACTCCTGAACGGTGATTTGGACATTTCCTGAAGACCTGTTTGATTGGTGTGACACTTCACGGCCAAATGTATAGAAATGTCAATGAACCTCCTTCTCAGCTGAGATCAAGGTTAAGGTCAAGACAAGCAACACCCACATGCTCAGTTTCCTTGGAAGGTACTACTTAGTACTGGATAAACCTGATGCCCTCTTAACAACCTTGACATAGTCCACCTCTAACAAACCGAACTAACACCGTCAGTCACCTCCACAAAACTCCGGCAGTATGGCGTGATTGCGTTCGCGAAGTTCTGCTGGTGATGGAATCATATTCACCGAACTAACACCATCTGATGTGGAGGTACCGTACGACTCAAAAGCTAGCTATAACCCGATAGCTTAGGAAAAGACAGGAACCTATATATTATTACAATATATATTATATTATATTATAATAGATTAGATGTTCCAACCCAGGACCAGTCAAAGCAGGTTTTCTATAGTTGGGGGAACTCCTACAGGGGCGAGGGAGATATGGGAGGAACAACCCAGACCATAGCCATAGGCAAAAAACCAAACACACCGGCGATTCAGGACATCCCGCCTTCCCGTTGAGGTGTCATCTCGACTCGGATAGACCTCGATCTCGACGATCTCGATATCCAGCGGGTTCAGCGGATTTGTGATGTCGTTTATGACCGTGGTTTGTTATCATGTAGGACCATAGGACATCTGAATCTATTCTATAATAGTATAAGTATGTATGAGATATAAGTTATATAATAGAACAGTAAGCAATAAATGTGCCAAGTCTGGTGACCGGACACCTGTGCGTCCAAAACAAACATAACTGCGTTTTTCTGTGCAGCCTTCCATCCATCTTCCTTCCGCTCAGCCGATCAGGCCCCCTTGCCAGCCGCGCGGAGCTGGGCGCCAGATCGCCCCGCTCGCTGTCGGAGACGGGGAAGTCCCCTGCCATCACAGCGGTTGCGTCCGCGCGTCCGCGGCCCCTCGCAGCGGCGCCGTGAAGCGGTCCGTGAAGCGGCTTGCGGAATTCCCGTTGGAAGCGACCGGGACCCCCTGTGGATGTTATTCTTTTTTACTACGTAAGTGTTTGATCAACTCACCTGAAAGGCATTGGGCCACCATCAAACCACCTGAAAAAACCATGTACCTTTTTTGGGGGGGTTCGCAAGATCGACACCTGCGTGTTTTTTTGGTGCAGTGCATTTCGCACGTCAGGAGTGAGGCTTCGGCACTTTCACAAACAAATAGCTGAGTACTCCATGTATGGCATGGTAATTAATTGAGGTCCGAGGTGGGTGGGTTCGGGATTCATGCAGGCATATGTAGGCATGCTTTTAATACATGGCCACACTGGTCTGCTTGCTGCACACGGCATAAAAGTCCGTATTATGTATTCTTGCATTTGATTGCCGAGGGTTAGGCCGGCTGATGCTCCGTCTGACTTTGAAGCATTTGCTGAGCTATGTGTGGCACCATCTGGTGCCACGATGGGCCCAGACTACCACCCGACTAATTAGTCACATGTACAGGCTCCTGGCTAGACCAAAGGCCGTTGAAGCGTTAAAAAAAAATGATTGCCGTGATTCGTCTCAAGTTCTCTGCTCCTGTGCAGAGTCTGGTGCTGTGCAACTTCTGGATCAAGCCCTTGGCCTTGCGCCGCTGGACGTGTTTAATCATGTTTAATCCTTTCTTTGACACGCTCTCCGCTGCGTGCACCGTTGAAGCGCTGCGTCGGAGATCCTCGGAAGACCTCCGAAGCCGCATCCCTGGTGTCAAGGCATAGTAATTGCCGCCGTGTTCAGAAATGTGACTCGTCCAGTGCAAACGGCAAAAGATTCAGCTTCCTCTCATCTTCCAACTCATCTCTCATGTCCATATCTCATCTTCCAACTGCATCTCACAGAGCAGGCTAAGTGAAGTCGCAATGTCCACTTGTCAAAACGGGCCAGAGCTCTCAAAAGCCAAAACCTGAAGAGGTTCCGCCGATGCCTCTCAGCTCATGGAGGATGTCACAATAATGTCTAAGAATACAACGGATGGGATGGAGAATGAGTCGGGGTGTCAGTCAAGATCATCTCAAGACACGAGTGGATCTCGAATCTACAGAATTCTACAGATCCACCACAGCTCCCTGGGCCCAGACGGGAACCGTTTTTGGGTCGAGACCTGCCGAAACCGTTGGGGTCGACGCCGCACCTTCCGTCCAACCAACACCTCCCACGGAAGTCAGGACGGCCTCCACAGTGACGCAGCAGCGGACACGGTGCGGGAGCTAACACGGTGAACCCGAAAGACTCAAAGAATTCCACACCCCAATTGACATTCAGCGATCAAATGGTGGTACTTCTGACCAAAATGAATTCATATTGATTCATTCTATTTCATGGGCAAGTGGGTCAAGTCGGTCGAGCGGTTGGTCTTCTTCACTTGAAACACGTTGATTCAACGGGACCACAAAGTTCCTCCCAAAACCTACTGCGTGCATCCTGCCCAGTAGAGCCTCCCAGTGCTTCTTTCACAGGTGACTGGCCGTGACTGGCTTCATGTTGCTTCACTCACTCAGTCACTCACCCAGTCGGTCAGTCAGCCAGTCGGTCAGTCAGTCAGTCAGTCATGTCAGTCAGTCACTCACTCAGCCAGTTGGTCAGTCAGACGGGAAAACATCCGAAAACACCTCCTCACAACAGGGCCCCACTCGGCACCTCGCAGGCGCTGTCGCCCAAGGCCATCATCTCGGACAACTGCTTTGCAATGCCTTCCCCGCTCCAGCCGAAAGCAAGGTGCACCAGTCACAGGCACACAGCGGGTGCTGGAATCCCAAGAGTGCTACAGGTGCCAGCTGTTTGCCATCCCAAACCCTTGAGGCAACTCACCTACACCTTGCCGGGCACGCAAAAACCTGTTCAAGCTATGGTTGGTCGGTTTGTTGGTCTCTGATTGAAATCCAGTTGGATCATGTTGGATCTATATTCTATATATAATGTTGACTCTTGATTAATCAACCCCCCCTCCCCCCTCAACAATTGGAGACCCTAGAATAAAACCAATCAATTGATGAATACATAAATTATAAAGAATCCTTACTTAGCTACCTCTGGAGCTACTCTGGCAATATATACTAAAATGAAAGGAATCAAGATTGAAGACATCTGCAATAATAGAATAAACCAGAGAGTAAAAAAGCAATTTTAAACATATGTTACCAAAAATACTACTTCCCCAAAAAGACATTGTTTTGGGGGCCTTTATTAATCAGTGCAGGGAAAGTTGCTGACATTATTCTGGGGGCGTTTATTAATCAGAGGTCCACATTATATTGATGATGAATAACATAGAAGTTCAATTCTGTTGATGATTCCTCCTCTCAGAACCATTCAGAACCTAGTATGCGGGATTTGTTAACATCCTGCTCTGACCTATTTACATTCACAGCCTTCACAGCTTGTGGTGATTCACTTCACGGAGTTCCCCAGGTCAGTTCTATTCAATTCTTATCCCAACTCAGTTGAACTCAGGGCCTCAGTTTTAATGATGGCCCATGTGGATCGTGTTGGATTTCTTTGGGTCAACATCGAAAAATGTGTGCCAATAAAAGACCCGAACGCGACACGTTCCTTCTCGTAGATTTTCGAGGCCCTCAAGGCTAAGCTCTCGCTCCACCAAGCATCCGAAGGCCACCTGTGACGGGCACGGGATGACACCACCGGGATGTGAACATGCGAGTGCTGGGATGTGCGTTGTATTCTCAATGTTTATCCACGATTCTCCAGGTAAAGGCGCCCTCAGATTCTTCACAACATCTCCAAAGATGTCCAGTCACATATGTCACATGAAGCATCAGCAGACAAAACATGTCAGCTGCGCGCTTTCAACATCACAACAGCTGGGAAAGGCTCACAACAACGCCAACAACACACAAAAGCGCCATAATTATGCGATATATGCCCTGGAAAAGGTTGACATGGAACCTAAAAACCACCAGGTTGTAGAGGGGAATATAGTCTTTCTAAAGGTCAATTTTCCACTTTCCTGTCAATCTTCCTGGGTGTGGCACCCAAAAACAACGTCACTCACAGCCGACCACCTCCCTCCGGTCCCTCCGCCCTCTCTCCGATGAGTCACCCCAGGCGCCCCCACCTCACTGCAGTGTAGCGCAGCCTCGCGGGTTTCCAGATCCTGCAGTGTGTGATCCGTGAGACCAAGAGACGACGTAGGCTGCCGAAGGCTGGACTAGTAACTAGTCAGTATTTTTCTTGAACGGCCGCAGACCTAGCCATCATTAACTTGTCGTCCTGTCAAGACAAACATTGAACTTCACAGAACATCACCGTATACCTTCAACGCACGTATAGGTGCAGGCTGTATGAACAAAAAGACCTCCCATTAAAGAGTCTTAGAACATTTGGAATAGAGAGACCACTGGGTTCAATGTCTTCTACCCCTCCATGCCCGTCATGAGTCCAGGCCTATCAATCTGATTGCCAAGCGGATCAGGAAGTCTTCTGTCATTTGGTGTGGTGCAAATTGTAAAAACATGTCATTAAGAAGTATCCTTGGGCACTTCCTTGGGGCCGTTGTCGTGTCGGGTGGGACTCTGCAGAAAATTGGATCAACTTGGAAATATCCAGAAAGCCGGACAGCTTCTTTCCACCCCGCACAGGCCCACGTTGACACGCGCTTCGAACGTTGGAAAAGGGGTCTCAAACCTGGAACCACCGGTGACCAACGCCACCGGTGCCGGTAAGCGGTCGGTGCGGTCCGTGACCCGGTGCGAGCCTGTGTTCGGCTCGGTGGCGCCTGGTGTAGGTCGAAGAGCAAGGCCGTCTCTTCTTGCAGGTCCCCCGCCTGGCGCCAACGGGCGGAGCGAGGGGGTTCTGGCTATGGGACCAATCGATTTGCTTGGGGTCATCAAACATGTCTTCAAATGGGGACGGTGAGTGTGTGTTGCCTGCCTATATACATTATATAGCCTATATAGCCAGCTATATTTTACGTTCATTATTAAGGTTAAGCTCGAAATTTCAAAGGACCACATCTGGGAGTACGTGTTCCAGAAAGAATGGATCAAGAAGGAACATATTAGAATATTAGAATCGTATAATTGAATAATCTTGAATCTTGATAATTATATAGGTATTAGCTTGGTCTTTCTTCTCATTCCAACTGCGTTTTCAGCCCCACCCAAAACTCTGCCCCCTCCATCGGCCTGTTCGCAGACCGCTTCAGACAGCTGCTGCGCCTGGTGCAGCTCCTCCCCTGCCTCAACATCCAAGGCCTCGTCGGCCAAAGTGACACCCGGCGATGGCCGCACTTCGGGTCGGAGCAACGTCGAATGGAACCGATTGAGGACCATCCGACCATCTCCGAACCATGCGACGACCTCATCCAGTCAGTGATGCTGCCGCATTTTTGGGCGAGGAAATATGTCGGAAGCGAGTTCAGCGAGTTCCGGGGGACCAGGAGGAAGCAGCTGTGGTTTTTGAAGCAGAACCAATGGCAATAAGGATCAACAAAAGAAGAGGAGAACCTGGATTGAGAACCCAAAAAGAAGTCTCCTACTGCTACTATAGAGAAGAACCCTGTTGAGATTGTGTTTTTTCCAAGCAGCCGGCAGGACTCAAAGATGCCCCGTAGAAATGGTGTTTGGTAGCTTTACTCTTGGACGCGATGGCCCACGAAGAAATGGTGCACCAAGGGATGTGGAATAGACATGTCGACATGAATAGAATCCTTTCAATAAACGAACAGCATAATAGTATAGTCTATAGTCGTGCAGGAGTGTTTCCTGTTGCACAGCCCCCCAAAAAATTGCATCACCGCTGCTTCCGCAACACATTGGGCTGGTGTCTCAGAATGGCTCCCGACGGGCCGGGATATCAAAAAGAAATGAAGAAAAATATATCAAAAAATTAATATACTCTATCCGTTCACAGAGCGCTGCGTCTGCCATGGAATCTGCACTTCCAGTGCAGCAAGTACCGCACCTGCCACGAAACCTGCACTTCCAGATTCAGAAACTGCCGCTCCTGCTAGCCTTGCCACGAAATCTGCTAGTGGAGGTGCTCAAAGTGCAGCGCCTGCGATGAATTAGCACATCAAGATTCACATCGCGCAGCCTGTACTACTTTGGAGGTTCCATAAGTACAGTATGTATGCTTTATGTGAGGTAAGGTTTGCGTAGTTTATGTGCGATATCTTTTTTGTTATTCCTCACAGGCCCTGGCTGTGTTTTTGCTTCTGATTGCCTCTGATGGATTGAGGTGGCATCTAGATTGTGACGCCACCTGGGCGCTGGCTGGATTCCACCTGGTAAGCTTTCTGACATACATATTGACATTCTGTTGGGGAAGCACCCTCAAACAGCTTAATGTCTTGTGGCATTCGAACTGGTATATCTTTCTCCACAGCATGGAGATGATCATTGAATCTTTTTCTATAACTAAATATAATATAGCTTCAGCTTCATATATTTAAAAGATCTTTGGATTCATTACCGCGGGTACATCTCCCGCATGCGCTTGCAGCACTCAGAAGTGCTGGAGATGTCCTGTCAAAAGCTGATGTGTGAGTAGGTTACACTTGAAGAAGAACAACGAAGCAGGAAAGGAGCAAAATGAAACAGTGTCACCGACAACAAGCTGACCTGCCAGGAGGGACGCTTTCCGCGCGATGCTTCGGCAGATTGTACCTGGGATGGCACTCGGAAGGGATTCGTGCAAAATGTGAGAAAACACTACTGCAGTTTGGAAAGTAAGCTCCGGACGTCTGAAGTTGGACGCCGTTGCTCAGACTCTGGCGCCTGACTGGACGTGGGAAAAACAGCAATCGATTCGAAACAACACGACGTGCCAAGAACAGATGTTAGCAAAGACAGCGGAAAAGTGGTCTGGCCTCATCTGAAGCTGGGCGAAGCCATGTTTGTGTGGCAGATTGGATGTGAACGAGGACACCGGCAGGAATGATTGGAAAAGCCGCAATGAGATCCGGCAAAGACAAGGTAGCTAGCTGTTGCACGGAGATGCATTGTTTCTGCAGCAGCGGCTCCCACAAGTGCAACGCATATGCCCGCGCAAATTTGGCAAGGGACATAGGAGTTCCGCGAGGAATTGCTGGCCGATCTTGTTCCTCGCTGGGCACAACAACACTCTCCTTTGGGAGAGGACTTGTACAGGCTCTTGCTCAAATAGAGGAACTGCCTTTTTGCGGTCAGGGAAGGCTGCTGTCTGCCAGGAAATGTGTCCTAGATGGAGAAAGGCCGCGTGGGTATGCTGTCAGCACGACGCCAGAAGGTGGTGGCAAGAGGGCCAAGTACAACAACGACATGGCAGTAGGCTACTTGAACCTCCGCTCTGAGCTCCCAGCCTTCTGCAAAGCGCTAGAAAGATTTTACTCGCTCTCGCTTGCAGGACTTGGTTTCACAAGATCAGCTGCTCCCGGATGTACCCTGTGAGCCTTTCCCCGACAAAGTCGTCTTGTATGACTCAAAGGGCCTGACCAAAGAGGGTCGCGCATCAGCTCAACCCGTGCCTTTGATGTATTCGAGCGTGAGGGTATTATCTTTTTTGCCTCACGCCGCACGCTCTGCGCCTACAACCATAGCACGGCGGAATGGACTTTTGTCCCTGATGCAGAGGTGCAGCATCCAAGAGCGGGGTTGGACAAGAATCTGGCAGGGGTCGTCATGGCCGAGTCAGCCGAAGCACTCGAGACACATCTTTGCGCGTTAGGCTTCGCCACTCAGTGATGTCGAGAAATTGGTGAAGTTGTTTGCCTCCCATGTCGTTGTTGTACTTGGCCCTCTTGCCACCACCTTCTGGCGTCGTGCTGACAGCATACCCACGCGGCCTTTCTCCATCTAGGACACATTTCCTGGCAGACAGCAGCCTTCCCTGACCGCAAAAAGGCAGTTCCTCTATTTGAGCAAGAGCCTGTACAAGTCCTCTCCCAAAGGAGAGTGTTGTTGTGCCCAGCGAGGAACAAGATCGGCCAGCAATTCCTCGCGGAACTCCTATGTCCCTTGCCAAATTTGCGCGGGCATATGCGTTGCACTTGTGGGAGCCGCTGCTGCAGAAACAATGCATCTCCGTGCAACAGCTAGCTACCTTGTCTTCGCCGGATCTCATTGCTGTTGAAGATGTGCGGGCGCCCTATACATTCAGTTTTGGTATATGAGCAACGAGAAGTTGCAAAGTACACGAGGATGTCCACTGGGATTTCATCGGACGGCCCACAAATGCCAGCAGCCACATCTACACACACAGAACTGCACTGCACAGCCTTTAGATCCGCCTGTTTTTAATCAGTAATTGAACTCGCACGTCCCCACATTTGCCTGACACACAATCTCCATCTTTAGATGTCTGACAACCTTCAAATCCTCCAATGGGGTGACTGCCTGAACCGACGTTGTGCGGTGGTTGAAGCCTCCTGCTGCATGGCAATCTGCAAGCACACCCGCCTGGGACATCTCCATCTCGTGATGTCTGACCTCCTCGGTAGCGTGCGCTCACGTACGATGTCCGACGTTCTATACGCCTCGCTCCGCACCTCTCAACCACACAGCGAAAGTGAAAGTTCTCCTGTCATGTAGGTGACCTATTCCCATCCATTGCCCACCCTCAGCTTGCAAAAGCCCGCCTTCAAACCAGAAAGGGAAGTATCGCGCCATGCCCAGCTGTGCCTCGTGTACGTACCCACAGGGTCAGGCACGAATGAAGTACAACACACAAGACTCAACTAGGACCCAAACACAACAGGTCAAGACGAGGCTTCGCTCACTGTATCCCCGGGTCACACAGCCGAAAGAGCTGAATCCGCGAGAGGCAAAAAGGAGTATTCGTAAAAGATTCATGACAGCAGTCCCATGTGTACGCCAGAGACACAGATATTAAAGTAGTCAGTTGTAAATATATAGCGCACTCCAACACGCAAGTCGCACGCTGTTTCGCTGTTGAAAGATGTGCGGGCGCCGGGCGCCCTATACATTCAGCTTTGGTATATGAGCAACGAGAAGTTGCAAAGTACACGAGGATGTCCACTGGGATTTCATCGGCCGGCCACTCTCAACACATTTGCGCGCTCCACTACCCACAGGCTCCGAGGTACCCAAGGTAAATGGTTATGTCGAATGGAAAGGTGGTCGCCTTCGACCAAGGACCTGGCCCAGCCCTTCGCCCTTAGGTGTATGGGGAAGGAGAAGCGAGAGGACCGAGGACCAAAGGACCAGAGGACCAAGGACCAGAGGACCAGGGAGAGGATTAGGGGACCAGAGGACCAGCAGGTCTAAGGCTAAGGAGATCATGATATTTCTTTTTGATATGAATTATTTTTTCTTTTGATAGGAATCAATTCTATTTTTGATAGGATTCTTTTTTTTTCATAGGTATCCCCTCCCGACGCCTCAACCCACCAGAACGAATACCTTTCACCAGTCGGGTCAGCATCATCCCTGCACCCCGCCTCCAGTGCCGCCTCCTCCAAGGCCTTCTCCCTCACATCCAGGTCTTCCCAAAGTTGCTGCAATTCTCGGGCACAGCGCTGCCGTCCCACCAGCAACTCCTGCCGATCTTTGGGCACTGAGTACTGCCCTCAAACCATCCAACATCTAGATTAACTACATTAAAAAGAAACATGATTTGGGTGTATAGGTCAACACCATTTGACAGACCTCTGAGCTTTGGGTTGTCTCCTTTTGGGGTCCCCTTCTAGTCCCTGGGGCTCCAACCACATCCTCAGCAGGCAACCCACATTTTCAGAAGGTAGTTGGAGCCATAGGGTGTAGGCCCTACTAGCCTGATTGAATAACCAGGATGACCTCTGGCCCTCCGCCCCAAATGACATAACAACTCAAATCCATTGGCTGAATTGATACGAGTTTTCTTGATTTTCCTTCCACATTCGTTTCATGTCATCTACCGACCAGTCCTCACCGGAAATTCCAGCGTTTATATAATTATCGAGAATAGCCGTTTCGTGGCCCGCGTCGAGGGCCAAACCCATGACCTTTGCTTTCGTAGAAAAACCTCGCCATCCACCCTCTCTCTAACCACTGCACCTCGCACCACAAACGAAGGCCTCACCCGGCACCGGACGAGGCCTCCTCCGCTTGGCACAAGGCCTCTTCCTCCTCCTGGATGCTCGCCGCGTCGCGCTGCACAGCGACGATCAGCTCACCTCAGCGCCGACGGAGGAAGCTGGTGGCTGTGGAGGAGTTCCTTGCGAGTAGAACCGGGCACTGAACTGGTCTTTTGACCCTACTGAGTCACTGTTCTGGAAGAACAAAGAACACACATGAAACAAAGGGATATCTCTATATTGTTATTTATTGTGTATATAATAGTTGTGATCATTTGTTGGGTGCTCGAACAGAAAATATCACTGATGGGCAAATGAGGCAAATGGCATCCTCAAGAACATCCCCATATTAAGATGGATCGATAGAAAAGGATGTTTTATGAACCACACATGAACTTGAGGTCAGTGGGTAATCCAGGGAGAGAACTTCAAATGGTCTTTATATATATATATATGTCAATACATTTTTCAATGATCTCTATTCCATCTCTTGAGGTCAAGTCTTCGAACCAAACCCTGAAACCACCCACTACCGCCCTTCAGGATGCTCCCATCGGTCACCGCAATAAACCGCGCCCACCTCGCGCACCGCTCCGCGCCGCGGTTTTTCGGCGAAGTGGCGCAGGTCCGCAGCGGCCACCAGAGTTTGTTCGCTCTTCCGGCGGAGGTGCTCGGTGAGCTGACCTGGGCCGAGGCCCGACGCATGCGGTGCCACTCCGGTGGGAGTTTTCACGGTGGGGGGAGGCGTCTGGCAAGGAGCTGTTGTGGCGGCCAATTTTGCTTGAAAAGATGTTGTGGCCTGCATTGTGTGCACTATGATGAACTGAGACTGATACTGTCATTTTATATATAGAAAGAGATGTATTGTACAAGGCATCAGGCAAACATCAGATGATCGTATGGGGTACAACTCGGAAAGAAGAGACCATCTTTTGCCGCATCAGCTACGCAATAGTTGCTCAATGTTGCTCGACAGGCTGATCTGATAGCACTCCCGCTTTGGCCAATGGATAAATTTCTGAATGCCCCCATCTGCTGTTCACTGTTAAACCACCACTTGTCGAATCCCAAGATCTTGAACGCCAAACGCAACAGAGTGTTTTTCTCCAATGACCGGAAAATCAGGAGAGCTTTTGTGACAAGTTTTAAAGAATTGAAGCAACCTCCCCAAGGAGGCCACTACTCACTACTCTTTTCTGGCTAATTGGGTTTGCCCCAATCACCATCAATCGCTTAAGCCTTTAGCGAGCCAAGAAAATTGAAAGGTCAAATCATGGCCTGTGTGTTGGACCAGCATCGTTAACCAAGCAACATACGCTACCGAAAGCGTGCTGAGCCAGAAAGAAAAATCACAGCGCAGCACCAAGCGAATGAAGCTGAAGAAACTGATTCCAAACACTGCCCTCATGCAAGTGTCAGTGACCACGAACATCGCTACTTCAAGCAAAAGGCTGAAGCTATTGGCGAGGACATTTTCCTCCAGGTTGGCCTCTGCCAGTCCCATGAAGTACGAGCTGTTGTGCCCCAAGAAAGTGTTGCTTCGCAAGCACAGCAAGAGGCTCAAGTAGATCAGGGGTGCCACGACCTCGCAGAGTTCCAGCATGACCACGGCTGGGAGGGAGCTGGAGATTTCATTCAGCAAATGGAGATCTTCTTTGCTCCAAGTCACATCATTCAATTCTTCTTTGGTCATTGTTCGACAGATCTCAGCGATGTCTTTGAGCCTCTTTCGCAAGGATTTAAAGCCCTCGAATGAGCTGCGACAGGCTTGCAGAACTTGATGCCTCGACCTAATCTTCGTCCAGTCAAGGGTCGCATCTCTTGGCAAAAGATCAAAGAAGACGGCGATGACGGAACTGCCAACCTGGAGAACTTCTAGTAGAATCATGCTCAGGAGGACCCAAGCATCTTTGGCTTCCGAGAGTATGGAGGCTTTGAAGATGATCACTGGAAGTTTCATGCAAGTTCTGATCTCCCGCGCAATGTGAAGAGGCATGTTCCATCGCCTGCCCGAAGTGACCGCCACTTTGACGGCCAGGAACTCCACTGCGGAAACCGCAAGGCTCATAGCAAGTTGCGCTCCGGTGTCCATCTGCGGGAAGTAGGCGATGTAGAAGAGCATCATTGCATAGAAGCCGCAAAAAACTGTCCAGGCAGAGACGGTGAACTTCAAACAATTGCCTGTGCTGCGGATAGCGCGCACCTCTTGGGGAAGAAGCAAATAGAACACTCCCATGCTGGCAAATGCAGCAGGGATGCAAGCCAGTGGCACGGAGAAGGGGATCGGATAGACGTTGGCAAAGGACAAAATGATGTGCTCGCCGGCACAGCATAGGGAGTCGACGAGGGGCAACCAAAACAGAGATCTTCGTACCCGTTGTGTGATCTCTGGCCTTTCTGCCCTGCACAAGCTGGGCCTCTTCTCGAGGTCACACATAATTTGTCTGGTGCACCAGCCTAGAATTCCCCGAGCAACGATGTAGTTTGCAATAGGATGCGCCACAAAGTTGAACATCCAGTTTGGCCAAAATCCAAGCCCTGGATTCTCAAAAGGAAAGACCACATAGGCCCAAAGTACAACCAATGCCAGACTCAGTCCAAAGACTGCAATGTGTGAAATGAGCATAAAGATCTGCCAACACCAGGAATCGCGGTCGCTGCACCAGTCCTGGAGGCAAAGCAAAGCCTTGTCATTCATCTTCAGGACCGATGTCTTTGATTCTCCATGCTCTGCATTTATCCTGGAAGTTGTACTTCCATCCTCTTCTCTTTGGAGATGCTCTTCCATCCTCTTCTCCTTAGCTTGGAGGATCCGACTTTCGATCTCGGTTTTTGAACCTGACCAAGAACTCGGCTGCAACTTACTAAGTATAACTACCCACTATGCTGGTGCTGCACGGGTGGTGGCTTGCGGCACTATGCTGCTGATAGACCCGCTGCATTAACTACCCACTATGCTGGTGCTGCACGGGTGGTGGCTTGCGGCACTATGCTGCTGATAGACCCGCTGCATTCTTTTCTGAAACTATGCCGATGAATCCCTCAGCATTCACGGGTTTAGCTGCGGGAAGTGGGCAAAACCTGAATAAAGCTGAGAAGCATCAGTTGCCACTTTGACCGGTCCTACATCCATCAAGGGTCATCAACGTCGATGCTTACCATGTTTGCTGGATGCTAAGGTTGAGGTTGATCTCCGCAGCATTCTGCCTGTCGATCGAAATGATTCGAAAGCTGGCATCAACAAATATGTCCTCCTTCTTCCCAAAACAGGGTATCATAATGCATGAGTCCATGTCTCAAATGCCACCTTGAGGAACGATTAGGACCCTGCTCATAGACGCCTTCCCCGCAAAATGACTACGAGAACCACCAGGGTTTGTTTGAACCCAACTATTTGGCAATTTGGATTAACCAAGTTGGGAAATAGTTCAATGAACCCCTTTGCGCCAACGCTCATGCTTACTTGGGTTGCCTCCACCAGTCCATGACATCCTGAAACTGAGACCTCATCCAGGCGGCAAAGGTAGATCTCCGCAGTCTTCCTGCCATCGGCCAGATTCAGAGTGTATGAATTGTGAAGGTGTCAAGTGGATAAGTGGATCTCAACCAAGGAATGATTGCCAAGCATATCCAGTTCTCTGACCACCAGCTTACACCCAAATGAGTTTCATCCACAAATCCAACAAATATATACAGTAACCATCCGAGTACACCAACGAGCCGCCAGTGTTATGGAAACTCACTGCGTTCACTCGCTTGTGTTTTTTTTGTCAAAATCATATTATGTATATATATATATTATATGGTCTGGTGCGAAATCATTTTGGAAAAGCAAAGTCACATGACATGTCGTACTAAGGCCTAGGCTTACGAATACAATGCCCGCCACGAACATTGAAGCAGCGATGAGTCAAAGACTCGCACAATGGATCTTTTTGCCGAGGTGCGTGGAAAACGGTTAGTGAACTGCAAACACTTGGAAGGTGAACAATGCCCTTGGCACCGCTCATTGACAACGAAAGCTATTAGACATTGGGATTTCTTTCCCTCAGGCACTATGAGTTTTCACCCTATTCTGCATGTTACTAGATATCAAAAACATGTTGTGTGATACAATATCAAATTACTAGATTTCATTAGCATGATACGTAATATAACGGTACAAAATGGCATGCTTGCTGCTTCTAAGAAACACTTCTTTCGTTTACACTCCCCACAGCTTAAGACGCCGCCGCTACCTTCACGGTCAAATCAGTCTCATCTTACAAAACCTTCCTTTTGGGGATCCAGGGCCAGGGCAACGCCTCTTCCGCATCCCTACCGTCCCCGCGTCCCTGCGCGTCCTGCAGGTCTTCTCCATTTCCAGGACATGATCCAAGCTTCCAGGAAGTGATCGGAAGTTCCACGGAGTGAGAAGGATCCACGAAATCCTTGGATGGCCTGGATGCAAGAGAGCATGAAAACCCTTAGACATCCTTAGACAATACTTTCTTCGAGAGCACACGCGTATTTACAGAATATCATGACAAACAAGTCTGACATGTTCTGACATCAAGTCTGGTCTGCGTTCTGTCATAAAGGCTGCTAAATAGTCTGGGGCATATTGCGACGTCCTTGTTGGCATGTGTTCCGACCTTTGGCCTGCGGTGAGATCTGACAATTGCCGTGACATATGATCCGATTTCGATTCTGGCATGTGTTCTGCTATGGATTCCGACTCAATTTCTGACATAAGTTCAAGAATGTGAGTTGGCATTCTCTATGGCAATGAAGCCGCTGTACTGTTCCAGCTATCTGGCATATCATATGACATTGTAACTGGCATGTTTCCTGACATCCTTTCTGGCAAATCTTCTCACATTCAAGTCTTCTGCCATACTTTCCAGCATTCTTTCTGCCTACTGTATCTTCTGGCACTCCAGCGGCCATATCTTCCTTTCTGGCACTCTACCTAGCATATCTTGCGACATTCCAGCTGTCAAACCTTCTGGCATTCTAACATATTCCAGCTAGCACACCATCTGACATCCTTCCTGGCACTCTGCCTGGCATCTTTTCCGGCAGTCTACCAGGCATCTGTTGGCATTGGACCTAACACATCTTCTGAAATCCTTTGTGGCGTTCTATCTGGCATTATTTCTGGCATTCTTACTGGGACATCTTCTAGCTTCTGACACCGTGACGATCTGCTGGCATTCTAACTCTCACATGTTCTGACATCCTTTCGGGCATTCTATCTGAAATGGCATGTGTTCAGCCCGTGCAAGTCCAGGGGCTAAACTGTCTGCCAAAAAGACTAACAGCTTAAAGCATAGCGGCATGATACACTGTTGTCGGTTTGCGTGCTTCGTTTCAAGGTCTCAAGATTCAAGATTCCCTCGACTTGAGGACGAATGGCTAAACATCCTCTGCAAACCTATACGGTCATGGACCATGGAATATGTCCTGACCAAAGGTGGTGGGCTCAGCCATGCATGCCTGGCCCAAAAAAACAACACCAAGTGTCTTGGACACCAATATTTTGTCAGTTTCCCTTGATACACTCACTAGCATATAAGGAGGAAACTGCTCGACTTCCAACTGGACTGGTTGAAGGCCGAGCTGGGTTGGTTGTCTCGAGGAATTTGCTCAAACGACACACGTAACGACACTCACTGGAAAAATGAGAGTGGCACACCAATGCGAAGCTGCCTGGTCACACCACAGCAACTAAATCTAGAATGTTGAGGGTTGCGTTATGATTAAATCTTGATTGTCTTTCCAAAACTGCATGCACCTCGAATGCATCTGTCTGGCGCTTCGACACCACTGTTGACTTAATGTTTGTTGTTGCTTGAATGTTTCTCTGCCAGGGTGTGATCCGACTTAATGTTTGAACACACACCTTGTCCAGGACGTCCAGGAAATCGAATTCCCACACACGTCCTCAGCCTTGCCTGCTATGCGGCCCGGTCAGGTGTAGTGAAAGTCACAGCAAAACGGCTGCAGAGCTGAAGGATCGTTCCCTGTTCCGTGTGTTGCGCCGAGCTGCTCGTTCTGGCCTATGCATGGGGAGTGGAAATGTTGCTTTCTGATCTCGCATGTCTCTTGGTGTCAAACTAGCATCCTCAAGACTAGCCTGATTCTATAAATCATAGTTACACTGTTCCACTGGGCTTCGAAGATTCACTTCATTTCCCTCCTTCATGCCAAGACAAGGGCTTGTGTCTTGATGAAAAACATCGGTCGATCCCGAATCCCAAAGACTCAAACATCACTGAACAACAGAGGAAGCTGCTTCGTGTTCCTCACACGGGACCAAGGAAAACCACCCAATTCCACGTCTTCGACATCTTCCACATCTCAAGCCTTGGTGGAAGATGAATCACGCTTGTTTCAACCCTCCAAGGTGTTCCCAGCAACCCAGCAACCAACCATTGGGAGGTCTGGCCTTTCTGCCACGCCAAGAAGTTCACCGATTGCAGGCGCCGGGGCAGCTCTGTGCGTGGAGCCTCCGGGGCAGCTCCGTGGCTTTCGCTGCTTCGGCAGCTCCGTTGCCCAACGAGAAGAGAAGGAACATGGTCTCAATGCCAAGAAAGGAGACAACACCACGTGAAACGGAACGTGTGCATGTAATGAAACGATGAACATGGCGCCGGCAACCTCCATATCTACCTGTGGAGGTCGGCGGTGCAGGACCCCCACGGAGTCACGACCACGCCGCCGACCCGGTGCCGACCACGTCCGGGAGGCGCCTTGGACATGTCTGCCATGGGCCATTGAGGGCCATTCCGCAGGAAGTCTCGGGCATCAGCTAGCCAAAGATCTTCCTGTTGAAATGCAGAACATCAGGAACCAAACGCCGTCAGCTCCGCGGTGTTCTTTTGCGTTTCAAATGGGGTGGTGGTACATTTGAGGCATGTGCCTCAAATGATGAAAGAGGGTCAGAATGTCTACACAGTGACTGCACTGCAGAGTCGTCGCCTTCAACAAGAGATCGTCAGCCTGCTTCACCACAGTGAAAGCCTCAAACAGTGGTGGCAAGCCACTGGGTCGCTTTGTGGCTTGAGGAAGACACCAAAGAACATGACAAGTCGTGATGCACACCCCACGTTCAATTAGACAAGCACAAATCCCAAGTGAGGGTCAGAAGCCTTTTTGACAGTGCTTTTTTGTTTGTCAAACATGATAGTATTTGAGTTGCACCCCGTTTTGAGACAAGAAAAGGACCAGAATCTTTGGATCATAAACCCCATCTATATCTATTCTCGAGCAGATTGACAACTGGGGAGGCAACAAACGGCCCGGGAGCTGCGGTTTGCAACCGACGTCTGTCTCCCAGGAGCATAAGCTCTCAAGGTCTCACCGTCTCCCACCCAAACGTCACAGCCGATGCCACACCCCCCCAAACGTCACAGCCGCCGCCTCCGGTTGCTTGGGCCAAGCCGGTGGAAAGGCTCGCATCACCCGGTGTCAAAACCGCTTTTTTGTTGCGGAACACCAAACAAAAGATTGGTCACCCGTTTTTTTTGTTGCGGATGTGAGCGAGCTGGCTGGAAAAACAAGAAGAAGCACATTCATCATCGCGGTTCCCTTGCCCTGCTGAGTTGGGGATTGAAGAAACTTAAGCAAAGAAACCAAATGCAAGCAGCTTCAAGGAAGTCCTCGCAAATAGCCCAAATGTCAAAGTGTGATGGTGGCTAATTACAAATGTCCAAAACATATGCCTGATGCCATGCTTCTGACACGTCTGTATTCCTGTTGCTTCAAAAAGCTGCAAGTGAAGGTTGATCCAACATATACAGTTACAGTTTCCAAACGATATTTACGAGTTCACGAACGCCCCTAATTCACTACAGATTGCAGTCATCATCTCCTGCAGGCCATGGCCCACTGCAAATGCAATCAACTTATGGAAACATGTGGCTGCTTTCAAATGCTTTCAGAATTTGCCAGTGTCCAATGCTGTGCAAGTCGTCTTCACCATTCCCTTTTGCCATGTTCTTGTTTGCCGGAATCTTAATCAATGAAGCCAGTGAGGTGCCAAAAGATCCTAACCATCACTGTCGATGTACTCCTACAAATGCAATGATCATTACCAATGACCTACAATGTAGAAATCTAAGTATGACAAACCTTCTTGTAGCTGGACACTTCACTTCACTTGGTATGTAAGTATAATATACATGTATACATACTATCAAGAGAGACAGAGAGACATGATTCATAGACCAATTCCCCTATCAAGTGAGAAAATAACTCCAGGAACCGCTGGCGTTTCTGGCACCGCAGCTTCACCCCGAGGATGCCCATGAAGGCGCCAGCGGATCCGCCAGCCTTCCCCGGAGATTCCCATGGCCACGGAACGGCCGGGAAAGCCATCCATGTACAAGCCGATGCTACCCGCCTGAACCTCCTTCTCAGCACATCACATAATTAGACGTTGAATATACAAGGAGGACGAGCAAAATGATGTGACATGTCTTCCCCCGTGGCAGCGGACTGGGAAAATGGGATATGCTACCCTTCTCCCGGACATCGCAAAAGAGCTATACTGTACGCAACGGCGCCAATAGGCGGCTGTGACACATGAAGGGCGCAATCAAATTCGTTGCACGACTTCACAGTACCTGCGGGCGTGGCACTCACATCAGGCCCAAGCAGCTACGAAGGAGCTGGATTGGACACGACTTCGAATTGGAAAGATTGGAGACATCCCTGACATCCCTCTACAATATGGGTCTAGCTGTCACAAGACATGGCTCCCTCCCCAATAACAAAAACTCGGGTCGACTTTGAAAATGGGTATAGCCAAAATAAGATCCGTGACAGGGTTGGAAGTGAGACAGGGAGTCAGCTAGAAACCAGCGGTTTCTAGTCGTCTTGTCAGATATAGTCAATATACAGTAGCTAGTAAGCCAGGGACAAACGAGTCAGACGACCCCAACATACCCAACTATGTACCAGGCAAAAAGAAGAACATACCCAACATACCCAACTATGTACAAGCAGGGAAGAACCAGGCAAAAACATAAGCATTGCTCGGTGGGCTTCACTCCCTGTTTTCTCCTCACGGGGGCGGTCCGTGGATGGCAGGCATCGGTGGTCCATGAAGACCCAGCTTTTTCGAATAGAAAAACAGGTGGTGCCATCCACTGAAGCACGAACTCCTCCGAGACCGAACCATTCTGGAGAATCTAGCCTAAACCTCTTTCAGGAAGAAGAAGGGCAAAGATCCAGCCAAAGGTGGCAAACACAGAGCTAGCCGAGAGAGTCAGGGAGGAGGAACCAGAGGGTCAGGCTTCAAGTGTCCAATCATACGTAGTATACTAACCACTGGTCATGTGAAATCCAATTAAACGTCAATTTTGTTCCAAAGTTGAGTGTTTGATGTTCAAAACATTTATAGTTTGAACAAACTATAAAATCAAATAAACTCATTATAACAAACAAGGTACCAGGTACCAGAGGCTAAACATGTATGCCACAAGTCTGCTTGAAGGCTTGAAGCACCCAAACTCATTCTCCGGCAACTTCCACGGCACTTGTCCACGGCGGTGTCAAAAGACATCCCCCTGCACTTCACCTGAGCTCTTTTCCAAAGTCTGCTGTGGTTGAACGGAAGGACCTTACGAACTGGAAAAACCCTCCGTTTCTGTCTCTACCAAATCAGTCTATAGAGTCCTGTCATCTTCATCTAACCACCTCTTCCAAGGCGACGGCCCAAGCGTCGTACTTTGCGCGCTCTTTTTGTTGGAAGTAGGCAGGTCTCTCGCCTCCATCGCAGATCACTCCCTCCAGGGTCCCCCCGGGTGAAGACGTGCGGGGCGACGTCTGACGCGCACGCATCCGGCGTCTGTTGAACCTGTTTCCACTGCTGGAAGCGAGCAAAAGCACCGGAGTTGATGGTGAGCGATTTCTGGAAATTTCATGGTTCAATGGAGACCATCAAATCCTTTCATGTTGGTTCATGTTTGGGGATTTCATGGTTCATCCATGAAAATCCTTTCCTCGTGCCATTCATGTTCAATCGAAGCATCTCGGAGCATCGGTGCCGTTCCGGGCGGCTGCCGGTCGTTGGCTTCATCGCCTTGAACATCGCCTTCGGTCGCCTGCTTGTAGTAGGCATAGATCTGCAAACGCCTGCTTCGGTCGACTGCGGCGCCGTACCGGATCGATTTGGAGGACGACAGGCACGTTCGTCAGATGGCAGGCACGTCAGGTGTTCTCAACATCAAGATTCATGGTGCCAAAGGGATAGGCCTAGCGGCCTAGCACCTATATGGTCTAGACACCAAGATCGCGAAGCTAGCGCTTCCATGCACTTCCGAAGCCAGCCAGCTTGACAAATCCTCTGGCGTGCTTCTGGTGAGCTTGTTCACGGCCTAGGAGCGGTCCATCAAGGTCCATCTGCAAAGCTTGGTGTCGCAGAATGTGCCATGATCTTCCACCTACGGAGTCCAACTCGGACCCTTCGTGTCATCACCAAGGGTGTCCCTCTTTCACAGCAGTTCCCCACGCCTGTGCTTGAGCTTCCTGGAATCTCTGCAGGTTGAAGTTGGATTTCCTGACAAACATCTGACTGCTGACGGACAGCATCTGACTGGGTGGAGTCCTTGGGCAAGCATTTATGGGGCGAGGCGGAATGGAGCATTTGTGGTCTTCTTCCAAAATTATCACAACAGTACCTCACAAAGTAGTATAAATAAACATGAAACCTCAGGCTAAGGTCTTGCTTTCCAGTGCCCACCTCTCATCACCCAAAAAACTGCCCTTGTCGCCCTCCGCTCACGAAGAAAATCCAGCCAGGCGGCTGCTCAGGTGCTTCGGGAGCAAAGCCAGCAGCCCCAGGCCCCTGAGTGGACTGTGCAACCACATGCGTCAGCCAGGCGTCAGGTGCCCCGTCGTTTGAGGAAGAACTGTGCCCCGTCGTTCGCTTTTGGGGGTCACAACCCGTTTTAGCCCCAAAAAAGATGGGTCTTCCAATGGGTCATAAGTCTTCCGTTTGAGCCGTTGGTCGCTAAAAAAGCTGCCCCGGCTTGGCTTCTCGAGGAAAACGGCACGTCACTCAGGAGGTCAAGGGTTCCATTCCCAATTCACCCAAGCAGCAGAACCCATCGTCTAAACTAGGAGTCAAGGGGTCAGGTTCCAGCGCCATGGAGATGTCACGATTGGTCTGCAAAGCCAAAATCACATGGCAGAGCCATGCTGGCTTTGGCTCTAAGAACCATCGCCAAAGAATGCTGAAGTCGAGAGTTCACACTGGTTCACTGGTCCGATCAACTACAGTAGTTACTTCACAACGCCAAAGGCCATCAAATCCCAAGTTTCTCTGAACGTAAAGTGGATGCGTAATTAATTAGCTGGATTTCCTTAAGTCCAGACTTAAATCAGCATGAATCTATCTTCTATATATTATCTCTCCTTGCTATTGATGTTCTCCCAACTAGGAGCCCAAGAATCACCCATTCACCTTTAATGAGACTCTGAACTCAGCACGTGAGTCAGCCGCCGATCTCCACCGCCGGTGGCTTGCTTTTCGCGGTTCCGGTTCGGAGGGATCGAGCGCCGGTGGCCGATCCGTTCGACGGAGGTCAAACCTAAAGATGGTCGAAGGATGTCAAAGGAACAGATTCCTCTAAGGAAGCCATCCAGGTCGGTGAGAGTGGCCACATGATTGGACCCTTTGACACATCCATCCTCCTGCATGATCTGCATTGACGCTTCCAGTGTTCCCGGGATGACATGCAGAGCTGACTCTTAAGAGATGTACGGCCAAAATTGGATGACGAGTACAAACTTCCAGCAAGGAGAACCCACAGGCCCCAACCAGGGACCCCATTTGACCGATCCCCCGCCCCAAAAAAAGTCTGCCACAATCTGCCACACAAAGGGAAAGGTATATAGTACCCTGGGTTTCCCTCTCCTGGACACTCCGCAAGCTTAAACCTGACTGCGGGGTATGATGATATGCTGTGCATCTTGTCAGTGGCTGCTTCGGTAACCTCAAACATGCTCAAACCACCGAAAGTCTTCACAGAAGCCAGACTGCGTTGCTGCGTTGCTCCTTTCCATTGGACTCCCCAGAGTTCTGATGCTCCTTTCGACTCCGAGCTCAGCGTCCCACCCGCTGCGCATAGGGGGAACCCCCCCGCTGCTGTGGAGCGCGAGCTGGTTCGCTCTGGAGAGCCTCTCAGATCAGGGTGAGGCAGGTGGGCTTGATCCAAAATTGGAGGGCTCCCAGTGGCACTCTCAGAGTGGTTATAGCCTAGCAGTTATAGCCCATGTTTAACAGCTTAAGCTAACCTATGTCACTACGCCTGTGTTCCCTGTGTTCTTCCTGGGAGAGACGGGACAGATATGGAGAGATCTGAGAGATCCTCTTTAAGGGGTCTCCTTCTTTTTAGTGTCTGAAAACTCTCAAGAATCAACTCGTCAACACATGAAGCATGTGTGAAACATGTGACCTTCAACAAATTCAGCCACAACTTTGATCCATTTTG